CTGGTCTATCCTAGGCTAAGGCTGGACATGCATTAGAAAGAAAGTAAACTCAAGTAGGCTACGGTTGGATAGAAACACACAAATTGAAACCACCCAACTAGCAAGGCACTTTGCTTGGAAATATGTCAATAAAACCTAAAAATATAGTATCTAATAAGAGAGGTAAGAATATTAGGTTTCCGCCCTCGATTTATACTAATCAACATGATTTCACACATTCAGGCTCAATCTAGATATAAAGGAAGTCATCCTACCTTTAGGCCGACTCCTAACCTCCAAATCACTTCGTCAGAAATTTTCCTTTTAGAACGGCCTTTGAGCACTGTAACACTATCAAAAATAGGATCACAACGTCAATAGTTAAAACGGAAATTGTTGGACCCGCACCGGATTTTCTAGATTTGACTCCACCTAAAGACCTAAAATAGTACCTCAAATTTTTGTTCCAAAATGAAACATAATTCGGGGCTCGAAATGTAAAGAAAGCCTAAGATGGAAATAAATCATCCAATTTTCAGCACTCCTTGAACACTCCACAATGTAGCCTCGGTAATTCCCCACACGTGGGACTTTGAATCATCCAAAATGGAGCTAAAATTAACAAGATATCACCGAATCAATATAGTCAAAATTGAGAACTCAAAATGAACTACAACAATCTGATTTATCATGATTTTACCTCAAACGACGTGTACTTGAAACTTTCAATTACTCTACTGTAAAGCCACCAATAAAATAAAGCTTCCACACTTTGAATCACCTCATTTGGCCAAGAAATGAGAGATATGTGGGATTTTGAAGTTTCCAAAATGAGTTGATATTTATGCTATATAAGCACCAAATTTTAACATTTTTTTCGAAAACATAAAAACTCCGACAAGGTGTTCTTAACTTGGTCGGAACTCCGCACATGCAAACTATCACGACCTACAAGTACACCCTAGAAGTTAGGGAAACCCTTGGGTCAAAACACGGTGTACTCGACCACTCGGAAGTCTTGTACAAGTTACTTGACTTCATTACATAACATCATGCATTAATGGAGGGAATTTAAAACTTTTTTTAAGCATAAACCAAAAAGTATTTCATAAAATCGGAACTATCTCTAATAACATTGTCTCAAAAACCATCTAACTTTGACATGAATGAAACATCTTGGGGCGCAACCCACATAAAGTTTAAAACATAATAAAAACATAAAGGAACATAAAGGTTCGTCGTCGAAGCTATGAGGACTCATCACTTCTTCTCTTTTTGGGAACCTTGGAACTCTACCCTTCAAAGCAACTCAATCTTCTCAATACCCTGCATGAAAAACATGTAGGCAATGTGTTAGTAAGATATGTAACAAGTATGGAAACTATCATACCAAACATAAGATATCTCAAAGGGTTAGCCAATAATAGACATAATCATAAGAGATAAAAGACGTAAGCATAAAATGTATATCCTAAGCATATTAGAACATCATAAAGCACATAGGATTTCATATTTACTTACTTGCCCTTCTTACTCTAGTGAACTACACCACAAGCTACCTCCAAGTATACTTGTGCAAGGCTAAGGTAGCATCCCATACTACTACCATAGCTAAGTATTTCTCTTTGGTCATTCTTGATCGCAATCTACTATCATAATTAAGACCTATGTTCTTCATACTAAAGAGTACTATACTCTTGTAACCATCTCAAAACATGTTTGTGCAATGTACAAAAGGCAGCCCATACTACCTCACATACTAAGCCTATCTTGACACCATACTTAACATGTTCACCCTCTGTAGCTTCTTTATTTCTTAACTTCATCTATAAAGATTCGCTCCCCTTTAGCATACTATACTAGGAAAGGCAACTCTAGTACAAATCCTATCTTCAATCTCTTCACCATTAATAACCCTAGGTTATACCTTGTGCAATGCACTCTATCGCGCCCCGTTTTTCATCGAAATGGGTTTTGTGCATGATCTAATAACTCTTTTGGGATTTGGAGCTTTGAAGAGTCACCACCTAACAAATTAAGGTGTGTTAGGGCACCTATATAACCTTAATAAGTCTAGCTAAGGACAATGAGTCAGAGATCAGGGTAAGGGTTCAAATTACCTCGAGAAAAGGTGTCAGACATCCCTCGAGGTCCACAAATGTGGTTCCCGATCGTATCTCGTGCAATCTATGTGGGGGTTACAAGTAGCAAATAAGATCACTTTGTTTATTAGTTAATTAAATAGCATGCTCACTAAGTAATAAAAAATATAAAACAATTAAGACTATTTATCATATTAATTAATTTAAACATGCAAGGCTAGACGATAGCAATAAATAAATAGTTAAAGTCATTTTTATTTAATTTAACATACGAGAATATGTGATAAACAAGTCGACCAAATAGCTCATGTTATTATTTTAATTAATATTTAAACATGTGAGTCTAAGTGATAGTAATAAAATATATACTAAGCAATTAATAAATAGACAAGCGAGAAGATAGAAAAGAGACGAATGAATAAGCAAACAATTTTATATTTTTGTAAACTACCCCAAATAAACATAATTATTAAACAAGTAAAGGGGTAAAAAAAGGGAAGGGAGACTCTAAAGAGACTTTTTGGATCAGCACTCGACTTTTCTTTTCATTTTTCTGATAGGATGCCGCATAGGGACAAACAAAACCAAGGTTTGTCTTTCAAGCCTGAGTCGATGTCATCATCTCCGTAGGGCCAACTACCACTACCCAATCACCGCATGCATTTCGTACCTAAATGGTGCCTAATCGTCCCGGATTTAATGTCAAAAGAGGCATTGGACTCTTAATGGGGTGGGTCAAGACAAAATAGAATTTAAGGTCCTCCTAGACACCAAGTCAAACAAACAAGACAAACAAAACAGTCAGTTTAGCATGGTAGGTTTCAACTTGGCCTCTAAATATTAATTAGACATACTTGCAAACAATACATAATTGTGAAAGGTTTCATGCTGAATGTGTGTACATACAAAGTTATAATAACAAAAAATTAATTACGAGAAGACAAATATAATAACATAGATGTATATTTTAGTATTAACTTTAAAGTGAGCAACAATTAGTGACATGATATATTTTATTTTATTTCCAAATGGCAAAAGAATGTGATCTCACATGCATATGTATTTTAAAACAACATAAAAATTAACTATCAATTCAAAATATAACTTAGGACAACAAATTTATTATTTAATTAGGCAGAAAATTTATTTTAAGAACAACAATAGATCTCATATTAATGCAGAAAATTATTCTAAGTAAGTGACAAGTTTGTTTAAATGCAGAAATTCTTTTTTAGAACATTGACATATTTACAAATTTGGTTATTAATGTTAAAAATTTAATATATTTATTTGAGCAGAAATTAATTACAAATGGAGAAATTAATTAATAGCATATTTAGATGCAAAAGGGTTAATTATGATGCAGAAAAATATTAACTATTATTTATTTTTTGCAGATTTTTCTAGGCAAATTAGTATGACAAATTTTTTATGATGAAACACAAAATAATAATGTATGCAGAAAATTTGCTCTTTCATAGAGTTGAAAATATTGAGATTATCTAGTTGTAAAACATGCTGAAAATTATTAGGGAGTGACTTTAACGCACAATCTTATTTAATTAATTCCTATATGCATGGTTTCTAAGTGAACATATTCAAACATATTAAAAATAATTCATATTAACTAATAAGGGACAAATTGACAATTAAAGTTTTTGCTCCTTTCAACGTAAATCAACATACTAGAGATTAGCTTGTGATTCCTATGATTTATAGGCGATTGGAAAGTTAAATCAACACATATAGATGATGCAAAAATATTTTAGTTCTATAAGCATGCTTTCTAACACGAAAAATATTACAAATTTGCATATAATTCCCCCTCCTTTTAGACGATCGCCAAATATAATTTATAAATGAGAGCTTTAGAGTTATACAAATATTACAAAAAATTCGAATAAATAGATAAGAAATATATATATTCAAATATATGAATTAACCAAATAATCTTTCTTCATGGCTAATTTTCAACTTGAACTTCAAGTTTGAAACTTGTCAAAGCAATCAAATAACTACACAAGTAGTCATATTTATTTAGATAAGGTGGGACACACATGCATATGCTTAAAAATAAATTATACATATAGAAAATAATAGACCAATCAACTTACACAAATATATGAATGCAAAAAGAAAACTAACAGGTTAAGCAAAAAAGGAATGGTAGCAACGAAAATGAATTGATCCAACTCTTACTCTGACAAAGCAAAAGAGCCAAGTAGCACTTGAAAGTTACCGAAAACTTATTTTGTTTAAGAGTAGCAATAATATGAGTAGTAAGAGAATGAGAGAGCTTAAGAAGTCTAGCTCTTGCGTTAAGAGAGAATGAATGAGTTAATGAATTGATAGAATGAGAGGAGAGGGTCTTATTTATATAGTAGAAGAGAGGAGCATAATAAGGGAAATAGAATAAATTAAGGAGTCAATTAAATTCAATTTCCTTATTTTCAAGGAGAGCCAAAATCAGTGTTTGTGGTTATCAATCATCTTTCGCAATAACCTTTTGATATTTTTGTTTGCTGCCTCAACAACCCCTTTCATTTGTGGCTTGTATGTTGTAGAATTTAAATGACTGATCTTGAACTTCTCACACATTGATCTCATCAGATCACTATTTAGGTTGGTGCCGTTGTTGGTGATGATTGACTCAGGAATTCCGAACCTACAAATAATGTTAATTTTGACGAAGTCATCCACAACTTTCTTTGTCACTGATTTCTGGGAGGTGGCCTCAACTCACTTGGTTAAATAGTCAATTCTGACAAGAATGAATTTGTGTCCGTTGGATGTTATTAGCTCGATTGGACCAATGACATCCATGCCCCATATTGCGAACGACCAAGGTGAACTAGTGACATGTAGTTCGTCGAGGGGAACTCGAATCATATGTGTGTGAGTCTGACATTGCTGACAATTCTAGACGTAGCGAATGTCGTCTGTCTCCATAGTTAGCCAATAATATCCCATTCTCAGAATCTTCTTTGCTAATGTAAAACCGTTCATGTGAGGGCCACATGTGCCTGCATGTATCTCTTCAACCAGCCTGCGAGCCTCTCCTGCTTCGACGCATCTTAGAAGCCCCATGTCAGGAATTCTCCTATAGAGGATTTCCCCACTTAAAAAAAATAGGGTTGCTAACCTCTGAATTGTACGCTTTTGTACATTTGTTGCATCATTTGTGTATTCGCCACTCTTCAAATATCCTCTAATGTCATTGTACCAGGGATTTCCATCAGGCTCTTCCTCAACATGGAAACAATAGGCTGGTTGTTCATGTCGGTAAATGTGAATAGGATCGATGTAATTGTGATCAGGGTGTCGAATCATGGAAGATAGAGTGGCTAAGGCGCCTGCGAATTCATTTTGGATCCTTGGTACATGCCTAAATTCTATTTTGACAAACCTTGTACATAGATCATGCACGCACTCCAAATATGGTAACAACTTTCGATTTTTCGTTGCCCAATAACCTAAGAACCTAATGAATCAATAGGTCTGAATCCCCTATTATTAGAATTTCCTGTACATCCAAGTGAATCGCCCAATGGAGCCCCAGTATGCAAGCTTCGTATTCGGCCATATTATTTGAACAAAAGAATCTGAATTTTACTGATACCAAATAATGTTGCCTGGTGGGTGATATCAAAACAGCTCCGATGCAGAATCCGTTCAAATTTTTACCTCCATCAAAGAACATTCTCTATCCATCATATTCTTCAGAAATGTCCTCCCCCACAAAGGCCGCTTCTTCATCTGGGAAGTAGGTGTTTAACGACATATAATCATTGTCTACTGTATTCTCCGCCATGTGATCTGCTAATGCATGTGCTTTCACTGCTTTTTGCGTGACATACACTATGTCAAACTCACTCAACAATACGTGCCATTTTGCCAGTTTACCTGTGTGCATGGGCTTTTGAAAGATATACTTCAAAGGATTCATCCATGAAATCAGATAAGTAGTGTGTGATGAAAGGTAATGTCGCAACTTCTGGGCAACCCATGTTAGAGAACAACAGGTGCGCTCTAATAGAGAGTATCGGGCTTCGCATGATGTGAATTTCTTGCTCATGTAATATATTGACTGATCCTTCCTCCCTGTTTTCATCATGTTGTCCCAGATGTAACTGAAAGCATTATCTAATACTGAAATGTACAATAGTAATGGTCTGCCATACTCAGGTGGAACCAACACAGGAGGATTGGATACATAGTCTTTGATCTTGTCAAATGCTTGTTGACATTCGTTTGTCCATTTTACCGCAGCAACCTTTTTTAATAGCTTGAAGATAGGATCACAACTGACGATAGACTGACCTATGAAACGACTAATATAGTTAAGTCGCCCTAAGAAACTCATTACCTCATTCTTACTCTTTGGCGGGGGAAGGTCACGAATGGCTTTGATCTTTGATGGGTCCAATTCTATACCTCGACGACTGACAATGAAACCTAAAATCTTTCCAACAGGCACACCAAAGACACATTTTGCTGGATTCAGTTTCAGATTGTATTTGTGTAGCCTAGCAAAGAATTTTCGTAAGACATCCAGATGATTTGAACTTTTCTTTGATTTGATGATGACGTTATCCACATAAACTTCAATTTCCTTGTGGATCATGTCATGAAACAAAGTAGTCATTTCTGTCATGTACGTAGCCCCAGCGTTCTTTAATCCAAAAGGTGTCACCTTATAGTTATAGACGCCCTACAGCGTGATGAAGGCAGTTTTCTCAGCATCGTCTTTTACATCTCAATTTGATGATAGCCAGCAAAGCAATCCACAAATGATTATGTTTCATGCCTAGCACAATTATCAATTAGTATGTGTATGCTTGGTAATGGAAAGTTATCTTTAGGGCTAGCCTTATTGAGATCCCGATAGTCCACACAAACTTTGACCTCGCCGTCTTTCTTGGGCACTGGAACGACATTTGCGAGCCAAGTTGGGTATCCTATCACTTGCAGGATCCTAACATCTAATTGTTTTGATACTTTTTCTTTGATTTTTAGACTCAACTCATGCTTGTATTTTCTCAGCTTCTGATTTACAAGAGGACACCCTGAATTAGTGGGCAGTCGATGATCTACGATTGAAGTACTTAACCCTGTCATGTATGCATAGGACCATGCGAAAATATCCTTATTCTCTATAAGAAACTCGATATACACTTTCTTGTCCTTTTTTTTCATATGGATGCTTACTCGATTTTCTTGTTTGACCTCTGAATTTTGAAAGTTCATCACTTCTGTCTCTACCAGGTTTTGATTGGGGTTTTCCTCGAATTCCTCAACCTTTTTTATTAACTCCTGAGGGACCACATTGTCTTCGACTTCTTCTAAGTCATTAAAGTTAAGTTAGGCAGTCTCATTTTATACCATAGACTCATATTCAACATTTTTATAGTGGATTTTGCTGGTGAGAAAGAAAGTAGCGCAATTAAATATAAGGTAAAAACAAATGAGTGGGGAAACGACTTTATTTATAAAAATTTGAAAGTTGCATAAAATCTCATTTGAAAACAATATAGGGGATGAGAATTTAAAAACGTTTATTGAAAACTCCTTTATTTAAATTAAAAACTTAATAGAAAACATCTCCCAAGGCTACCCAGATGCCCGACGAGGTCTGCATGGAGTCGAGGTCCAGTTGCTGATGCTGATCTTTGCCTCCCTGCTTCTGCTAGGGCCCCTTTATCCTCCTCGTTGATCGCGACGTTGCAAACTTTTCCCTCTTCTTTGGTCAACGACAACCCCTTCAAGTCGTCTGAGATCTCATCAATAATGTCTCCCATGAAACCTGCTGATCAAAATGATTGACGCAATAGCGGTATGGGTTTCTTAAATGGATAATAGTACCCATCTTTAGGTGGTTTCCAATCGAGCCATTCTTCGGTAGTTTACTTATATCCCAAGCCAAAAGTGGTGGAATGTCGAACAGGTTATATAGGTTCGACTATCCCTTACAATTCAGCCCCCAAACCTTTCCCAAACTCGAAACCGAACCAGGCCATCATATCTATGATCTTTTGGCTAAACCAAGACTGTAATTCAATATTACCAACAAGCTCCACTGTATGGTACATTTCACCATCCATATGTTTTCTTCCTTCAATCGTGTATACAGGATACCCTTTTTTCCATGGACTACAACCTCTTCGTAATCCCATTAAAACTTCAAGCATTCGTGAAAAGTAGATGTGACCGCTCTAGCCATATGAATCCATGGACGACCCAACAATATGTTATATGATAAGGGAATGTCCAAGATTTGGAAAGCTATTGGGAAAGTGACAGGACCAATGAGCATGTCCAAGGTTATCTCCCCAATAGTTCCCCTCTGTGAGCCTCAAATGCCCTCACGTTCATCTTCCATGCCTGAATTTTCGCACTATCCACGCCCAGCCTTGTCGGTGTGATCAGCGGGCAAATGTTCAAACCTGAGCCTGCCCTACCATTTGGGCTACCTCTTCATGAGTGATTTTAGATGGAACATAAGCTTCACTAAGGATCTTCATAAAGGCATTTCGATGAGTTTCAGAAGATTGCAGTAACGCCATGATTGATATTTGGGATGGGGTTTTACTCAGCTGCTCAATGACAGAGTATTCTTTAGCTTGAACCTTTTATCAGATACACTTATATTCAAGCTCTACGACTAGTGTTTTGGATTTGCTAGAGCTTCCCTGAACCAAATTCTTAGAAGTGTAAATTCTTCTAGATTTGGTGACCCCTGTTGCAACATCTGTCTCTTCCACTTTCGTTTCTCTTTTGTTGTAATCCCAAGGTACAACATGTGTATCACATTGTATCGGGGAAGATGCCCTATAGACAGTGAACGGTGGTATAGGTGCGGCAATTTCTAATTCGAATGGGGCAAGTGGTTGCACTATCATCGATGCTTGGGCGGTGGTAAACATGGCTTCTTCTTTTTCGAGGGTCCAGATAGATTCTTCCCAATCCCAGATATCACCAACTTCCACCATGTTGACTTGGTGGTTAGGAAGAGGATTATTTGCAACATTCGGTGTAGGATCCTTGAGTTAGATGGTTTTTGTATCAATCAACATTTGAACCTTATCCTTGAGGGCTCTGCAAACTTCGGTACTGTGACCCTTCATCCCAGATTGGTCGGCGCAGACCTTGTTAGGGTCGTACCACTTTGCACAAACATCCACAGGTAATGCAGGAATTGGGGAGACGTACCCAGCCTGTTTCAGTCTTTCATAAAGTTGAGTTATGGGTTCGTCCAAAGGGGCATAATTTTCTGTAGGTCTTCTTTTATAGGGAGGTCTGTTCCGGTAATTGGTGTAGTTTGGAAGTGTGTTGGTAAGACATTATAGAGAGGATATGAAGCTTCAAATATTGAGGGGAGTGTTTTGGTAATATATTGTCATGGGTTGGGGAGATATAGGGGGTGGAGCTGAGGGATGTTGAGGTATGGAGTGTGAGGATATGGGGATGGAGGTGGGTTCGTTTCCTGGTGCCTCAAAGGGGCCTTGGTTCCATGAGCCATCATTACAGGACATGTTTTCTTTAGATTTTGTCATTTCACCAGATTGCAGAGCTTTATTGGTTGCTTGAAAAGCCTCCAAGTTGATGATAGTCTCATTCTTTATGTCTTCTTCAATTCTTTCGCCTAGTTTAATGATTTCAGCAAAACTCTTTTCAGCCACCAGTATAATTCGGTTATAGTATTCTGGTTATTGGGCATTGATGAAGTAGTTTTTCATCAGAGATTCCTCCATAGGGGGTCTGGCCCTAGCCGCTTCAGACCTCCATCTTATGGCGTAGTCTCTGAAGGATTCACTAGGTTTCTTCTTCAAGTTTTGAATGTAAAACCAATCAGGTGCATTTTCTATATTAAAACCAAACCTTTTTATGAAATCCATTGCCATATCTACCCACTCGACCCATTTCCGCGAGTCTTGCTCAATATACCATGCTAGGGCCTCCCCAGTAAGACTCCTCATAAACAGATTCATGAGTATCCTCTCGTCTCTTCCCACCCCTACAAGTTTGTCACAATATATTCATAGGTGGGCTTTGGGATCCCCAATGCCATTGAACATCTCAAATTTTAGAAGCTTGTATCCTTTGGGTAGTTCTAATCAGGTGCATACACAAATCCTCGTAGCTCAGTCCTCCTAACCTCTTGTTTTCTCAACATGCTACACCCTATTGGTCAAGCCATCTAATCTCTCAATCAGGTTTTTTATCAAAATGTCCTTTCGGTGGTACTCTGATTCATGAAGGACATGGGTCAGAGGAGCGGTTTCCACATATATTGGATTGAGGTTGTTGTTTCCAAGAGTATATGGAGGATT